GATGACATGCAGATAAAACAATCCTAGCAGTTATACCGCTTTTTTTATTTTATTTTTGGTTGAATTATAGTATATTATTTTGCTTAAATTTATTTGATTTGTTATCTTTTCAATCATGAATTCATAATACATAAAATAGCAGGTGGGAACAACTGAAAACTTTCTTGAACGTGGAAGGAATTAGGAAGTCCAATTTATTGTGGGGATGACAAAATTACAAATACTTTCTAAGTCTCTTTTAAGAACCTTCAATTAGAGTAGATTCATATTTTTTTTTACCCTTCCATTCTTATATTCGATTTTATTTTAAAAACTCAGATCAATAATGCTTTATATATATCTTTAGTCACATACACTATTATGCTATTATGCTTCGCTCTCTTAAGTTACTTTTCTTTTTATACCTTTAAGTCTCTTTGGTTGCATACTCTCTTTACTTTTGAAAAGTTAAGAGGAAAAAAAGGAGACTTGACTTTTTATTTCTAGAAAAATAAACAGATAATGAGTATAAAAGGAAAACGGAAGAAGGAAGAAATAGAAGAAAAAAGTAAATGAAATGGAAAAGGAAAGGTAAAAAATTAGAGAAAATATTCATAGAATTTGATTCAATTGGTTGCAGCGTTGAAATCAATTTTACTTTTCATTTTTCCCTTTATTCTATGTTATTTTTGTTGTCGTCATCCTTTTTGTCTATATATCTCTTTAGCCAGCAATATTATTTATCTTTTTTCCCCTATTTTTTGGCTTTATCTCAGTAATTAATATAATATTTACACATTAATGACATTAATTTGTTATCATTCCCTATAATAATTGATATTTTTTTTGTTTCAACGGCTGTTACGGTTCCAAAACGGTCAAAAAATTAATAGCCGTAACACTTCCAACCTTTTATATTTCTTATTTATGGAGAAAAATGACATCATTACACTTGCCAAACAACCACGTCCTGTTGGAAAATACATGAAATACAACATGAAAAGTTATGTATCGAGTTTTCAATATTCTTTCTTTTTAAAAAAAAATTATTTATGAATAAGCGGTGGATGCAGTAAACTTCTTGAAAAGGTTTAATTATGAGATATTCATGTTACGTTTTCTATTGTTTGGCTCCTTTTCTTTCCTTCTGACTTTGTAAAATGTTTGGGAGAATTGTCAATGAGTTTAAGGATGAAGAAGAATTTAAAGAAGTAGAGTAGGGGCTAGTAAGGGCTCTTTGTTGAATTACTAAAGAACTAATAGCGGAGTCATTTTTTACCCCTAAAATTTAAAATATGAGTCGGAAGAAGGAATTGGAAGCATGTTACTGCATCTGTCAAGTTTGGCTAATGCATAAGTGTTGGTTTCATTGTGTATCACTACTATCAATCTTTTTTTTCCCTGTTATGTTGAAGAAATTTTTTGATTGCCTATAGATTGAATGCAGTGTACAAGGTTTTTTGTCACCTATCTTTTTTTTTTTATTTCTTCAAGTTAGAAAAAAGTATTCTCAGAATTTTTTAGTGTCCCTCTAATACAGAATTTTATTTGTTTCTATTTGCTTTTTTATAACTGTGCATAAATGATTGAGATTGTCTCATTGAACCTTAAGTTTTAAGTGATTGCTCAAACGAATTTTATTTCGTAACCCGAAGTGTTCAATTAGATATTTTTTACTTCTTATTAATATGATAAAGGAAAAAAAGCTTGAAATAGAAGAAGCAATTTTTTTTGGAGTTCTTCAGAATTAGGAGAAGAAAATATAGATTTGTACGACATGAAGGAGTTAGGGGGCCAAAGTTTCTGATTTTCTCGGACCAACCACATAAAACAGAGAGAAAAAGAAAGAAAGAAGAAAATAATTACTTACTTGGAAGTAACGGTACAAAAGAGGAAGAAAGGGGAAATAGAAAAACATATTAGACTAAGAAAAAAATTATTTTAAATTAGAGGATCGAAGACAAGTAGAGATTTTTCTCAAATAGAGCTTATTTAGGAGATAGATAATTTAGAGTAAGATCGACGATAGAATTATAAAGGAAAAGAACAGTAAAAGAAAAAAACCAATGAAGGAAAACAATAGGAGAAGAAGCATATGTTGAAAATAGAATGCAGTCAACTTATTTAGTTTTAGTTTCTTTATTTTTACCATATTTTTGTCTTTTATTTAAATAGAAGAATTTGAATCTATCTATGCAGTTAATTCATAAGTAAGAATTCACATTTCCTTTCTTAAAGATGATCTAACTATTTAACTGAAGTTCACCTGAGCTCTACTTTTTATATTAAAATTTATTTATGTTTTTATTTCACCATCATATAAAATTAAAATTTGTATACATATACGTTAAAAACAATCTTTAATTCGCGTGGATAATTTTACTAGTATGGAAATAAACGTTAAAGTGAAAAAGCTAAATTTTGAGAATGAGAGCAAAGGTATAATAATGGCAGACAACCGCTGTTGAAGACTTGACTAAGTCAAAACTCTACATAATAGAGAGTGGGGTTTTCCATTTAAAATCATTTATTTTCTATTTGTAGCTTTCTTCTTTTATTGGAAGGGGAAAATTGCCGTGGGATTTAGGTTATGTTTTGGCTCCATTCTTAGGTTTGTGTCCACCCTTAAACCTAATGAGAAAATATGGTATCTTATATAGATTTTGAAAAAGGAAATATTATAATCTTAAAAATAAAAAAAATTGAAAGTAAAGAAAAAGCATGACCACTTTAAAAATTATCTAACCACGTACGTGTTTATCCGGGGCATTCGCATCTATACCCGTTTTTTGGGTCACGTTTTAATTTGTGTCCGCTTTGCAAAATAAATTGCAAGCGTACCCACTTTTTCGCGTAACTTCAGCATACGAGGCTAAAGTAGTAAGTGTGCTGAAGTTTTTGTTTTGTAACTGGCGAACGCTCTTGAGCTGAAGTTTTGTTTTTGTAACTGAGGAACTTCAGCTCTAGAGCTGAAACTTTTGTTTTGTAACTGACGAACTTCAGCCCTAGAGCTGAAGTTTTTGTTTTGTAACTGACGAACTTCAGCCCTAGAGCTGAAGTTTTTGTTTGTAACTGGCGAACTTCGACTCTAGAGCTGGAATTTTTATTTTGTAACTGTCGAACTTCGGTTCTAGAGCTGAAGTTTTTGTTTGTAACTGACAAACTTCAACCTTGGTAAGAATGTTTGAAGAATGATAATTTGCTTCAAGATAATCCCATCGCTATGCCTTATAGGAGTCCCATTTCCACTACCAACGAAACTACAACATCATTATCCCATTTTCCTGAGTTCCACAGAGCAAGCTCATCACCTCTCATTCCTATCTCCACCAGCGTTCACGAAGGGAATTCTTACTCAAAATTTAAAGTGCCTAACTAGTCAGTAAATACTTATTTGTTTCTCACGGAGAATTCTTTATTGTAATTGTTGAGGAACAAAGCCATGGAAGAATTTTCCAACCTAATTAACTAAACAACAAATTACAGATAGATATCTCGAAATAAAGAATCAATCTACTGATTTCATTTTTCTGTAACTGGCGAATTGTACAATGCATCTCTTGCGTGGAGAAGGAGGAAGAGAAGGGGGCTGAAGTTGTTTAAAAAGTGAGTATAAGTTAAAACTTTTTTTAGAAAATGGGTATAGGTAAAATGGGGGCGCCCGATCCATATAATTTTTACGGATTATCCTCTCAAATTCCTTGAAATTATTGGCTGACCTTTAATCAGAAACACAAAAAAAAAAAAAAAAAGGGGACGATTCCGGATTTGTTTTTCCAATAAAAGCAGTCATGTATTAATTCTTTATTTTAGGACATGATATGTCCAAAGGAACATACAACATCATTTACAATCCAACGGAAAATAGTCTTTCCTAATAAAAATTATGTATCAAAGAAATCGAAAACTTACCTAAGTTTGCCTCAAGTCAGAACAATTTTCAGGACCCTCTCCAGCTGCTCCTATTTGCATTTTAAAAAAAAAGCAAAACCCGAAAATAAAATAAAACAAAATAAGATAATAAGAAAGAAAAGGGGAATATCCAAAAAAGTACAAGGGTCAGCAAAGAGGAAACAACTTAATTATAGTATGTCCTTCTACTTTATGTCTCCTGTAACTAGTAGTAGTAGTCTTTATGTTCACATAGCAATAAGGTTTTGATCTTGACTTTTTGGGACATCACTGGTTCCATATCAAATGTTCCATCCCTTTCTCCATTTATTTCATATTTTATTATATTTTCAGCTAAAATTCCATGCATTCATTATCCTAATTTGTGTGCTTGCGCTATGCCTATCAAAGTATTGTCCGCTTGGGTCCGATCGATGACTTGATCCTTCAGGCCACTCGATGAATTTCGAATTTCATAATTTTGTCCTCTTTGGATTTTACACAAAAAGCAACTCAATGTACAATTGAATTCTGAATTTGCCCTAGCATGATATCGAACTCTTCCCTCCCATTTTGATGAGGGATTTCCTAAGGCAAGCTTCACAGCTAATATCAAGTTCAATTGTCAGCGGTTTGTAGGTTGTCACACCATTTTATTCACGATTCTAATAGTTTTTTTTTTTATATTATTATTTTACTTTTAAAAACCTTACATTATTGCAAGGAAAGAGGCCCATCTAATAATCCTCGCAATATCTGCAACGGCTTCTTAGAAAGAAAAAGAAATTGCGATATTAAACCAAATATGAAAATCTTTCTTATCGATATTTTTCTCCTTAACTCAATGAAAAGCGAATATTGTTTGTTGTGATTCATGTATAATGAAGATCTGAGAGCTTCAGTGAAGACAACAATGACGGAAAATAGAAGAGAAGTTTCTAGAGAGAATTTTTCTATTTGAGAAAAAATTGGCTTGTATTATTGAAGCTCTGCATTACAATGAGTTGATACTATGTATATATATATACACTTCTACAACTGCATCTAATCTATAGCCTTTTATCACCTAAACTAATCAATCCCATAATTAGTTATAACTAACTAATCTCTCTTAACCAACTTAACTATACTCACGTGATTGGCACGTGACTACTCCTATCTTCAACACTCCCCCTCAAGCTAGATGGTGCAAACAAGTTCAGCACCCCTAGCTTGCCTATCAGGTAATCATGTTGCGATCTTCCTAGAGCCTTTGTGAACATGTCTGCTTCTTGGTCTCTAGACATCACATATCTTGTTTTGACAATTCCTTGTTGGATTTTTTCTCTGATGAAGTGCAAGTATATTTCTATATGCTTCGTTCGTTCGTGGAATATAGGATTTGCAACAATTTGGATTGCTGCCTTGCTATCACAGAACAGCTCCACTGGCAATTCAACCTCTGCACTCAGTTCCTTGCATAACCCTGTCAACCATAGGATTTCTGAGACTGCAGTAGCCATGCTCCTGTACTCAGCTTCTGCTGAGCTTCTTGATATCGTGCACTGCTTCTTTGACTTCCAAGATACCAAAGAATCTCCTAGCTTCATCACGTACCTTGTCACAGACTTTCTGGACACTGGACGCGATGCCCGGTCAGCATCACAAAATGCTGTGAGTTTTGAGCAAGGCTTTGAGCTCATCAGTAGACCAAGACCTGGTACCCCTTTTATGTACCTAACAACTCTTATTGTTACCTCCATGTATGACTTCTTTGGACAATGCATAAATTGGCTCAACACATGCACTACATAACAAATGTCTGGTCTTATCATAGTGAGGTACAACAGTTTCCCAACCAATCTTTGGTATGGCCCTGCATCTGGCAGCTTCTCATCATCTTTCAGCTCCAAGTGTTGGTCATATTCTGCTGTTATGAATCTCTGATTGCATTCCATTGGAGTGATTACTAGTTTTGATCCTGCCATTCCAAGATCAGTGATCAATTCCATTTCAAATTTTTGTTGATTCATCAGTATTCATTCTCTTGATCTTGCTATCTCAATTCCCAGAAAAAATTTCATCTCCCCTAAGTCTTTGATCTTGAAGTTGTTTGCAATATAGACTTTGCTTCTGAAATTAGGCAATGATCATTCCCAGTTATGAGAAGATCATCCACATATACTAGAATGATCACTAGACTGATCCTTTGCCTTTTTGTAAACAAGGAATAATCAAATATACTTTGCACAGATCCTGAATTGATCAAGGCCTCAGTCAGCTTCAAATTCCACTGTCTAGAAGCTTGTTTCAATCTATAGTAGGATTTATGCAGCCTACATACTTTTCCCCCCTAGCTGTGAAATCCCTAGGGCAATCACATATACACTTCTTCAATGAGGTTGCCCTGAAGGAAGGCATTGTATACGTCCATCTGATGCAAGTTCCAATTGTGTGCTGCTGCTAGGGCAAGAACCACTCTGGCTGTCACCATTTTGACTACAAGAGAAAAGGTCTCTTGGTAGTCGAGGCCTTCAATCTGATTATACCATTTCGCAACCAAACGTGCTTTGTATCTTTTAAATTCACCATCTGCTCTATATTTTATTTTGAATACCCATTTGCAACCAATGGGAACTTTCTCTGTTGGCAAATCTACCAAGGACCAGGTCTCATTCTCTTTGAGGGCATTCAGCTCTTGTGTTATAGCTTCTACCCATTTAGGATCTGATGCAGCTTCTTCATAGCTGCTAGGTTCCTTTAAGCTAGTTATCTTGGAAAGATAAGCTTTGTACTTGACTGAAATCCCATCATGACTCAGGAAATCTTGCATGGGATACTTGCAAGATGTCTGTGAAGTTGAGCTTGCCAATGAACCATTGCACACATAGTCCTGTATCTAGGCAGGTTCTTTTACAGTCCTGCTAGATTTTCTAGGCTGGTTGTCTGAGTGTGAAAGATGGACTGCTTCTGAGAATATTCCTTCTAGCTGTTGTGGCTATTGTATGTCTTCAAGAACTGGTGAAGGCAGCAAAGATGATGATTCTGCAGCAGGTACTGGCTCATGTTGTAATGCATCTGTAGACGAAGGACTTGATGCGTCATGTGGAGGATCTGCATCTGTAGATGAAAGAGAGGGTGATGTTGTGTCATTGCTAGTAATTGATTCTATGACTCCATTGGGAAAAACCTGCAACTTTCCTTCCTTTAAAAGCTGGAAAGGAAATATGTTCTCCATGAACTTTACCTCTCTGCTGACAAAAAGGAGTTAGTCAAGAGATTATATAGTCTATATCCTTTCTGAGATAAAGAATATCTCATATGTACAACTCCAATGGCTCTTGCTCCAAACTTATCTCCCCCTACTAGAATTTTGTCAAAGCACAGACATCTTATGATCCTCATATGTTGTAAGGAAGGTTTTCTTCCATACATAATCTCAAATGAGGACTTCCTTGATAACACTGATAGGGGAAGTCTATTAATGATATAAACTGCTGCATGCACACATTCACCCCAAAACTTGAGAGGCAAATGACCTTGCAGTCTAATTGCCCTAGCCACCTCCAGTATATGTTTATGTTTCCTTTCCACTACCCCATTCTGTTGTGGGGTATGGACACAGGAACTTTGATGAATCATTCCATACAATTTGAACAAACAGCTGCATTCAGAATTGAAAAATTCAGTCCCATTATCACTTCTCAAAATTCTGATTGTTCCTCCAAATTGAGTTTTTATTAAAGCAAAAAACTGTTTCAAGCATACAATCACATCACTCTTAAGTCTCAACAAGTAAACTCATATCATTCTAGTGTAATCATCTACTATAGTAAGAAAGGATTTGTATTCATTGTGACTTGCTACTCTATATGGACCCCATACATCTACATGAATCAGCTCAAAAGTTTTATTTGATCTACTTGTACTCTTTGGAAATGCCAATCTTCCTTGTCTAGCTAGATGGCATATTGTGAAATATCTTATACTATCATTGTTAACCTTGAACTTCATGTTTGGGATTTATTTCACCACTTTATCAGGGGCATGTCCAAGTGTCCCATGCCAGACCCCTAGATCCTTTTCTACTTTGGAATGATCATGTGTTTGCACAGTTGTAGCCTTGGCTTTGTCCTGCTGATACTGCAGATTATACAATCTTTCAAGCTCTTAACCAATACCCTTCACTTTCCTATTGTGAAGGTCCTGTATGATCCAGAAGTCAGGATAGACGGATAAAAAACAATGTAAGTCCCTTGTAAGCTTAGAGACTGACAACATGTTGTATTTAAAATCTGGAATTGATAGTACATTCCTAATAATACCACATTCACCAATCCTAATTTCTCCAGTACAAGTAATATCTAGTGAGGTACCATTAGGTAAATGAACCTTAGATCCAGACTTTAGGCTATTAGTATTAATCTTGTCAAGCAATTCTCTGGTGTGAACCATGTGATTGGTTGCACCAGAATCTACTATCCAGTTTTCACTCTTTGTTTTGTCAGCTAATGTAGTGACCTTAGTCGTACCTGCAAAATGCTTTGAATTGTCACTTGTATCTTTGTTGAGCAATTTTAAAATTTGATCATATTGTTCCTTAGTAAACATGATTAGCTGAGGCAGTGCAGGTGTTGGATTTCCAACTGGTGAATTCAATATCTGCTGCCCTTCTTGAGATACTGCATTTGCTGTTGCCTTTCCCATGTACTGTTGTCCTTTATCTGTTGTGGTGTTAACCATTGATCTTTGTGGAAAATTGTTGGTTTTCCTTCTCATTTTGAAATCATTTGGATAACCATGTATTTTGTAACATGTTTCTCTTGTGTGACCTTTATAGTTACAGTAGTCACAAAATAGATTGTTTCTTTTGGGCTTATAAGTGTTTCCTCTAGTCATGCCTCCTTTGTTAGGAACAATGCTGTATTGTCCCCCATATCTAATGCATGTGTAGATTTTCCCAGATTTCTCTGACTTTCCTGAGAAATAACCATGGAATACGCCTTGATCATCATCAAAATTTAACTCCTAGGCTGTGCATATGTCTCATTTAGGCCCATCAAAAATTGTAGCAACCTCTTATATTCAAAGTGCTCTGAATAGCTCTTAGATTCTGGAAAATCACATCCAGGACATGGTATCAAGGCATCATATTCTTCCCATAAATCTGTCAACCGTGAGAAATAGGCTGACACAGAAGAAGTTCCTTGCGACAAAGTTGCAATTTCTTTATGTAGAAAAAAATGCGAGATCCATCCACTTTATCATATTTATCCTTCAAATCTGTCCAAACTTTATGTTCACTTGATTGTACACAATACCAATGAGCAATTCCTTGCTCACAACATTCATGATCCAAGACAAAACTATTGCATTACACTTCTCCCAAAGTTCATACAATGACTGATCGAACTTATCCTTAGTGCATCGTCTATCAACAAACCCTAATTTACTCTTGTCTATCAATCCTATTTTCATATATCTACTCCATACTACATAGTTCTCAGCTCCAGTTAGTTGAATTGAAATCAAGGAGCTACCTGGTGTGCCACTTGGCTGTAAAAACAGAGGGTGATGATGATCGATGGTTATTGCGGTTGTTCCTGTACTGGTTCCAGCTGAAACTTCTTCTCCAACTACCATGTCTATCAAATTCAAGTAAACTAAGTTTTGAATTCCACAATTAATAGAGTTTTCAGTCGCAAACTGCAGAAAAATATGGTGTGCCCTAGCTTAATCGATTGCAAAAATCACAATCGATCTACGACAGAAATTTGCCGGAGAAAATGAGGAATGACAATTGCAATGAACGCGGATATATCATCCCTGCTCTGATACCATAATGAAGATCTAAGAGCTTCAGTGAAGACAACAATGGCGGAAAGTAGAAGAGAAGGTTCTAGAGTGAATTTTTCTATTTGNACAGCCTTTTATCACCTAAACTAACCAATCCCATAATTAGTTATAACTAACTAATCCCTCTTAATCGACTTAACTACACTCACGTGATTGGTATGTGACTACTCCTATCTTCAACAATGTATCTTATAATTTTCCAAACTATTTTTAGGATGATTTCACCTTGTATCTTTTAAACTTTTGACAATTTATACTCGTGATACGTTATATGGGATCTAGGATTTTAAATCTATGAGTTAGGAATCCACAATATTTTTTGCTTATTAATTTTAGATAAATTATTTAATTTATGCATATTAAGTAGATTTCTTAACACAAATATAAAGTGTTGACAAAAGCGGTTCTAATAAACGTAACCGGTAACTTCAACTATACAATCTGATTTGTACATATAGTTTTTGTTTTGTGTGACCTTTTTAATTTTTGAACATCTTCTATGAGCAGTTGAATCTAGTACTCATGTGTCAAAACAACCAAAAAGTACCGCCAAAGGATGTGGTGCAATGGATGAGACTGTTCTTCCCTTAAACAGAGGTCTCGAGTTCGAACCCTGAGTATGAAAAATCCTTGATAGGGAATATTTCCTCCCAAATGGGCCCCTACACGGCGGATTTACTCGGGCTCCAATGAGAGTACCGGACACTGATTGGGAAACCCAAAAAAAAGAGGAAACAACCAACAAGTAAAAGGAGATTTAGTGATACATACACTTCTTGTATAGGTCAAAATCTGACCATAGTGGTCGACCAAGCTGGGATCTCGCCCAGATGGTGAAATAACGAAGAGAACCACGACCAACCTCGGAGTCAAGTCAGAACGGTACTCGAATAAGGACGAAAAGGACCGTCACATGAGAGCACGTTAGTCAAAGAACACTGAATAAAGTTCTAAGAACTATATATATAGAGGGAATTCTCGGGAAAAAGGGGCTGATCTTTTCCTCTCTACTCTTTTTCTTACAATTTCTTTTTGTTTAGAATGTAAATTTATTTTTTTCTTATCATCGGGGATAAGATTATGACATCAATAAAGTTGGGATGTTCCTACCTTTCATTATTTTCTCGTTATATACTTTTAGATCTGAAGTTGATTATGCTTGACTAAGATTTACCTTCTTTATTATCGATAATTGAAGTTGGCAAAAGAGTCTCAAACTTTTTGTTCAAACAATTTGACGCCGTCTGTGGGGATTTCCTAACCAAATTTCCTGGTCTCCTTCAGATCCAAAACCGGTGAAACATAATCACCCACCAGAAAGAGTGGTAAGTAAACCTCACATGCTAATTTAGATCATGATGCTATATAAAAGCATAAGTTATAACCAATATCCACGCAAAGCCCACAAGAGGAGGCGGCACATGCTGCGCAATCCTATAAAAGAATGGGCACATCCTGCCCTACTCTGACATCCCCCCACGCACCGAATGATCCATGAACAAGCTAAGGCGAACCCAACCCACGCGTAACTAGGGCACTTTAAAAAAAATAAAGGAGAGCTTAATACAGCCGCCAAATCTAAAAACCACCATTCCATAAACCACTTAAACGCCAGGTAGAGCGAGCAACGCTATAAGGCTACCCTCGTTCATCGACTCATTGGATCGAGGTAAGGAAAATCTCATCTTAGTTTACCTTCTGTTGTTTGCTTAAACAGGAACACAAGCGCCGCATGGGCAAGCGAGCAAAAGAGCACTCCAACTAGAGAGTGGAAGGAGAATTACTACAAAATAACTGGAATATCGCCCATCTCAGACACTTCAACTTTTGGAAAATGACGTCCTTTAAGTCGTACTCCCTTTCCCTCACCCAGGTGTTGTCCCAATTAGGTTTACTCGGGGAGGTTTTGAACGAGGCGATAAGGGAGATGTCACAAAGTTCAAGGGATAATTCATCGCCCCGCCTACCGACGAGCTC